CTTCAGCAAAGTCGACATCTCGACACGTTGCACCTGCAGAATCTTCATGGCTTCACAACAAGATAACACAAATCTTTAACGGATTCCTCGACACGACTATGGGAAATAGCGAAAGTGCAAAATGCATCTCCCCAAGACGAACGGCAACCAATCTGATTCGTATCAAGCGCTTTCTCAACGATTTCTTCTGATTTGTTTTTCACAATAGTGTTACTTGCGCATGTAGCTTTATTTTTGAACCCTTTTACCCACACTCTATGCAGCGTGCTCTCAACTGCTAGTCGCTTTTTTTAAATACCTCTGATCTTTGTAGCTTACGTGGTTTTTTTCTGAAATACCTCTGATCTCTGTAGCTTATGAAGAGTTATTTTAAGATGACTGTTCGGATCCTTCGAAGTGTGAGTGTCAACAACTGACGGTTTCAAATGTACAACGTCTAGCGAAAAGCTTTCGCCCTGCTGCTGGTGAATATGGGTACGTGGTTCATGTTCAAATTCAGCTTAACACAAAAGTGAACCGAGGAAAACTGGGTAGGAAAACTGGTTATGTGGGTAAACATTTTCAAGAAGTTCCTGCGTCCACTCTTTGTACCTTTCTTATTGCTGTCCCCCCTCACTTACAGTATTAGAACGGGGCGCATCAATAAGGAAGGTACAATGGCTGAGTGACCGTGTATTTTCCGCCCGCCCGGATGTGTCTTTGGAACTTTTCTTGTGCCCGGTCGGTTTCTCAACTGTCTCCTCTGCGGCCATCTTCTGGGATTCGTTCGACTGAACGACCTCTGATGACAACTTACTATGCGACACCGATGGGATATATGGAACAAATACTCAGCCCTGACAGCACTCCAGGCGAGCTCCGCGATTGCCAGTCGCTGGTAATAGGGCTCAAAAATGGAAGTGAGTGTGGTCACTGATTTGACAATCAAGAAAAAGCTGATCAAATTCGCAAAATATGCCTCCATGACTAGACGAGTTTTCCAAACTTCCTGACGGTCTCAGAGATCGCGGACCGGACTACTTAGGAAGAAGAGAAACCTTGGAGTTCGTTGAGCGTGGGATCTGTCTTTTGCATCACGCTGCTCCTGCTCACGATTTTTGTCATACAAATTATTTGTACGTGACGAAGATTGCTAGCAACCACTC